TATTGAAATTTGAGCGTGGTCTAAACGAAGCATTCGAAATACAGGTATACACAAACCGTTAGTTTGTGCAAACATTATAGTAAATCAGCTATGTAACCCAAGGACCATTCGGTACCCCGTTTCTGCACTTCAGAAGGTGATACTGACTAGTCGCCAACACACACACACACAAGAAAAGCTCATACTTTGTCTTGAGAAGGAATACTGAGCAAGCGGCACTTTTCCAAAACATATTCTCACGTATAAATCTAAGAATGCTGCGTGATATGCAAAAAATTCGATACCAGAAGAGGGTTGATCCCGCGGTTCATCTACACTGGGATCAACTCCTGCCTGAGGTCGAATGTTTTGCAATCCACTCAACCTTCTCAGGCGTATAATTGGAACACCATGACGAGGCAAAAAGCACCATAAAAAAGGAATTCCCATATTCTCAAGCGGGTTATTTTCCGTTGTCCGCGAGCAAATGAAGAAACGACTCCCATTGCTGGGCAGAAATCTTTAATAGGCGTTAGTAATCATTCAAAAGCTTGGATCTCTGGTCACTGCGCTACGTGTTCCTTTTTTGAAGAGACCAATTTACAACGCGGCAATATTCAATATTTTTTTTATGTTTTACACCCGCCGCCTGCATTTACTATTCTTTGCTAGAAGCACGAAAAGCATATAGACGTGTAGAGGAGATCTTGTAGTATCAGGGTCATACGACTTATGTGGAGTTTCTTCAAAAAAGGAGAAAAAACTTCCAACTAAATAACAAAAACTGCATGAAATATGTGTAACGCGTCAACGTCACCGATCGGTTGGCGTGTTGAAACCACAGGCAGGTTCCTCTCCCCCTTCCCCTTCTCCCAGATTAGCCCAAGAACAAACTTCCTTGTACATGCATTCAATTTTATTTTCCCTGCGACACTGCAGTGAAACGGTCTTTCCATGAAATAAGCACAGCGTTGGATCGCTGAATCTGACGCTATAGAATACTTACTAATATTCTGAAGGAAGAGCTCTCTCCTGAGAGAAGAGCGCGTGTGAGAAACACAAATGTTGTCATTCAAAAACGATCATGTAGCGCATAAGGCACAGGTCTAAGCCTTCGAACGATTACTAGCAGAGCAACGGGAAGACTTTGCTCAGCGAAAGATGCCGTTTTTTCATCTGCTTTCGGACGAGGAAAAGAGCAATCAAGCGTTTAGTGATCGCAAGGTGGAGGGGTTGTGGCCGAGAGGGTTGTAATGCCCAGCGCGGCTCGACGTGGGGTTGGACCCTATCCTCACCCTCCAACACTCAAAAATACTACTATTAGCAAGACTCGCTTCAAATTAACGAAAGTGAAGCACTGCCAAGACAAATAAGCTCTTTATTGTAGCAAATTATTCTGTGGGGACAACTCGTCGAAGCTCGACCCTCATCCTAGAAAAGATGATTGCGAGAGACTTCTGTGAGCCAGAGAGAATGCCAGGGAACAAAACTAGGTTTGAGGCGAGAATTCTATTTTGGGGTGTCTTTTTTTGAATCATATTTTGACACTTTCACCACTTCAACTGTTTTTTATTAGAAGTATCAATCAATATATAGTCATTATCATGATCAGTGATATGCAAGCATTTTCTGGGCAAAGATCAGATGCCTTCCTCCCAGAAAAAGAAGCCCAGCGATCAAAGAAGTCGTTGAGATCATTTTTAAGCTGGCTGTAGTCTTCAAATTGTGCTTGCCCACGAATGCTGCTTTAAGGGCGGAAGATACGATAATTCGACAGAGCAATATCTGAGCTACACGGTAGATGTGGCATCGTGATCAAGCTCAATTTCTCCAGAATGAAGTAGATCGACGTTGTAATGTAAGCTCTAGCGCTATCGTGGAAAAGAGCGACACGGAGCCTTTTCGGACGCTTTCTTCGCACTGCTGCGGCCGGCCTCAGAATTGCTTCCCGTAACCACCGGCACTGATTTTGTGCCCAATTTTCCGAGCATGGAATTCGATCTACGGATGATCTGGGGCTCTACGCCGCGAGATAACCACTAGGCGTGGCGCGCGTTGTTCTTGCAGTGCACTGAGGACTCATTTCCATTGATGAAGGAAAGCCCTGTCTGTGCAGTCACAGCATAAATCCTTCACAGATGGTCACGCTTGTGGTGCGCTCGTGGACGATGAATGCATAAGGTGGCCATGGAGACATCACTTTGCGCTAAGCGATCTCAACTAAACAGAGAGAGCGGTGGTGTCATGGTCGTATCGACGCGTCTGCCCAAGGAACTGGAAATTTTACCAACAAACATAGCCGTCTTTTGGCACTAAGTCACTATGATACAAAGAAGAAGCTGAACAAAATAAGGGCGAAGGTATAGATGGTACAATCCAACAGAAATCGTATCTTAGTTTCGAGTGTTTTCTTAAGACCACTGCTCAAATTTCAATATGCCTGATAATCATTATTTGAGCCACGCATGTCAGTGCTCTGTCAATGAGGGCTTACTTCTGGAGCCCGATGATCGGGCTCTATAAGTCAGCCCTCATTGACAGACCACTGACATGCGTGGCTCAAATAATGATTATCAGAAATCGTGCTGATAAGGGAAAATCAATACGTATCTAATGAACGTAAAACTAGCCTCATTTAGTAAATGATGCAGTTTGTTGATGTGTCGTGATAAATTATTAAACATTTGAGCGGCTCTCGGTCGTTGTAGTTCCAGCGGCATTGAACACACCGGACATAGCACCATCGTGTTCATTTCCGTGAATTCATTAATGCAGTCCCTGATAAGATTCCGTCAGAAAAAAAATGATATTCACAGCAGCCAATGAAAAAGATAAGTTCAGAAAAGACGACGAACCAGCAAAACGCGTGTTTACACGCACTTCCCAGGTTTTGCAATTGATCCGACGGCTGCCGGCTGTAATAAGATACTTTTAGTTCGAGTGTTTTCTTAAGACCACGCTCAAATTTTAAAAGATCCTTTCTAGTGGTGGAGCACGCGTCCCGGGGTAGGATGAAACGTGGGTTCGATTCCCGCCTAAGGCCGCATTTTTGCTCACCACTCAATTCTCTAGATTATATAGATCCTTTCATTATTATTTGAGCCAACATGTCATGTGGTCAAGCAAGGGCTCTTCTACAGCCCGACACACGTGTTTCGTCCTTACATACTCGTCGGTCGGGCAGAACCCGTCGTCTTTCGATCTTTTTATAGTCAGTTCTCTCGGGAGCCCAGCTCTCCCTACAGAGAGTTTTCCAAGACGAACGTTTTACACTCTACGTCAAGTGAAATTTCCACCTAACACAGAGCGTTTGCGCACTCGACTGCTCTTTGGCTGGTATTTTTATCATATTCTACCTTTATTTGGAGTGCTTTGTTGAAACCACGCTCAAATTTTAATAGATCCTTTCGTTATTATTTGAGCCAACATGTCATGTGGTTTGGTGAGGGCTCTTCTACAGCCCGGTACACGTGATTCGGCCTTACAGACTCGTCAGATATGAGTTACTTTTTCCAACCAAACGCTGTAAACGTCGATTAGGATTGTTGAGCTGAGAGAGTGAAGCGGGCTTTTAGATAAATCTTATAGGTGATTTATTGCTCGGCGTCGATTCCTCCATAGAGGAGTATAACCTCGAGTAATTGGTTGAGCCCAGGACGGTGCTACTTATGAATCTCGGTAGGATGAAGCAGGTGCCTGTGCGCACTTAGACCCTAAGGCTCAAAACAAGTTATATCCTCATCAGATTATCAATCATGTTCTCGTCTTCTTCTTGAACGTCGCAGAACGGTGATTGAGCGCGTCACCTTGCAATCTCGAAGATACCCTAGGTCCATAGGACGCTCGCTGTTGACTGCCGGAGGTGTCGGGGTGGAGCTCTACTCCACACGCGCCCTGCTCCATCTGGAAGACCTCCGGCAGTCAACAACGATCGCCTCACGGAACGCCACAGCGTGGTTATCTTCACGATTACAACGAGACTCAGGAGACTCGCTCAACCAGTATTCTACGGCGTTCACGAAGATGACGAAAATTATCGATCGATTACTAGGAGTACTGGGATCCGTAAAATAAAAAAAAAACACCGCGAAGATGGATCAATAAAGTGTATAATAAATATCCGTTTTGTAGACCCTTATTATTATTTGAGCCACCATGTCATGTGGTCTGGCAAGGGCTCTTGTAGAGCCCGAAACACGTGTTTCGACCTTATAGTCTCGTCAGTCGGGCAAAACCCGTCGTCTTTCAACCTTTCTATTAGCCAATTCTCTTGAGCCTGCTCCCCCTACACAGAGGTATCGAAGACGAAAGATTTACACTGTCTGTCAAGTGAAATTTTCTCCTAACACAAAGTCTTGTACACTCGATTGCTCTTTGGCTGGTGTTTTTATTATGAAGGATAGCGTTGATCAATCCCTGAGGGAGGGATGCGACATGCATTCGACTTCAATTTTTAACTTCGTTTGAGGTGAGTGAATGCATATCTGGCCTTTACAATGACTCGCGGTGGCCTCTCGCTGAACCGAGGCAGTGCTGCTTATCCTCCCAGATAAGTCTTAGTCCTGTCTGGTACCGATTTACCGACTCCGGAGGGATGGATGGCCTTGGTGAGCCATGAGCGCGAGATCGAACCATAGACCTCGTGTGCGACGCAGAGCACCTCTAACCAGTGCGCCATATGCGCTCTTGTTTTTATCATATTATATTTTTATTTCGAGCATTTTCTTATGACCACGCTCAAATTTCGATAGATTTCTTCATTATAAGATAATATAATAAGATAATTTGAAGTGAGAGGAAATAATAAACATTATAAATATGCATAAATTTAGTTTGAACCCACCAAACTATGTTGGAGCAACGGAGTAGTTCAGCGAAATTCGTTGCTGCTTGCTTTGTACATTCGAACGACATCCTACAACATCTTTTAAGCAGAAGTAACATCGGAATTAACACAGTAATAACATTAATAATAACAATCATAATAATCCCAATGATGTAGAGTGGTGTGAAAGAACGTTTGCGTCAGCCGGGATTCGAACCCAGATCCTAGTCTTGCCGGGAGCATGGCTAAACCGTTGGACCACAGACGCTCGCTTTGCACACCACTCTTTCTACGCTACAACGCGTTATCCGCAATTGGCGATCAAATAAGATGATTTCCGATTGATTATTGAACTCATAATAATGATAATAACAGAGATGAGATTAATCTAGGAAAAACAACGCTCATGAGAAAATGTTAGGAATTTCCCACAGAACTGCATATGCTCAAAATTCGCGCCGGTTATCTGCATGCAGCCACAACTCGTCCACGTTGGGACGAGTTATTCGATATGGCCCTGCCGCACGTTGAAGTAGTAAATGTGGTGAAGGACGTTAAAGATTTCGTTGTGGGAAAAACGAAATGCGCACTTCCAATCCAATCATATCTTTTGTTGATGGGCACTCAGCGATACTGTAGATCAGAAGTTTCAATGGAAGTACAATAGCGCAATGGCTTGCGATGGGGTGTAGCAGAAAGTGAGGTGATGATCAGCAAGGCGTTAGTTCGATTCCTTCTTCTAACATTCTCTTCCAAACAGTCCGCTGAACACCTCAGCTTCCTGAAGCTCAAGAGAGCAAAGAAATTCGCCTTGATTAGCCATTCCTCGATAATGTTAAGTAAGACGATATTTTATCTCTCGTTTCGAGTGTTTTCTTTAGACCACAGTTCAAATTTCAATATGCCTGGTAATCATTTTTTGAGCCACGCATGTCAGTGGTCTGTTAAAGAGGCCCTATACACGTGTTTCGATCTTGCGATCTCGTCAGTCGGGCAGTTACCCCTTCGTCTTTTTGCTAATCCTGTGTGGGGTATCGGGCTCTATAAGTCAGCCCATCTTTAAGAGACCACTAACATGCGTGGCTCAAAAAATTATTATCAGGAATACAAATATACTTCATTCAAAAAGGATTATTTAATCATAAAGTGTGAGCTATCTAACTGTGAATAAGAACGAATGCCCTTAATGCCCACAGTCCGACAACGAGCACTAATAGCCAATTCTTGATCTTGATCAGCTCTATGAAAGCGCCTTGTTTCCACTTTGTTACCTGAATACCGCTTAGTGTACAAGTAAGCCACTGGCGTCGCACTGCAGTAACGTGGCCTTTGGTCACCACAAGGGCAATTGAAGGAAATGCAGACCAAGCATCTAAATGCTGCAGTGCATATCACGTTACACTGATTGCACAAAAACTCCGATAACTGCGCAATATTGAAGGATAGGATAAAACTCTCGGCGTTGATCCGTTCCTGAGGAAGCGTCATGCATTCGACTTCAGACATAGTCTGAGGTGAGTGAAAGCCTATCTTGTCTCTCAGGTAATTGGACGCCTATCTGGTCATGAAAATGATTCGCGTTGGCTTGCCGATATATCAAACCAATGTTGCTATCTTCTTAGACAAGGCTGGCTCAACTCGCCGATTATACACGGATGGAACGACTGGTCATTCTCGCCGCGGGAATCGAACCGTCGACCAGGTGATGTGCGACGTGGAGGATCTCAAACCAAGCGCCAGACACGTCCAAGAACTATCAAGACACAAATGCAAAACGTCACGAGAAATCAAATAGTGAAAAAAAAAACAAACAGAACAGATGAAAAGGTAAAGATGGCGCTCGCATTTCAGACGAATCTTCGATCTCGCTCGTTTTCGAGCATGGTCACCCCGTGAGGCACATTTCGTAACTCTGGAATCCTTTCCATTTATGGATGTCAGTGGCTGATATAAGCCACGAATTAGTTCGGCCTCCTCGTGAATGATCATCTGAAGGGACGCATGCATTCTTTCAGCCCACACTTTTCTTCGTTCTATTCAATTGTGATCTTACTACATGACCAACTTGTCCGTGCTTTGCTATCGATGTGTCGATATTCCCGTATTAAGAAAATAAAAAAATTCGTGCTGCGCATTCCGGCTGAATGTTGGGAGTTCCAGTTTCACTTCAAAGTAGATCGTTCAAGCGCTCCGTCAGTGGTGTGCACAATTACTCACATGGTTAAAGTATCAGTGCACATCTTTTCTACATCACAGAGCCCTGAGAATCGTCAAGTAGAAAAGGTGACGAGAGTTGAATTTCAGTGCCGTTAGTCGGTCAGCAATTTCTTTGAGAGGATTGGACGAGGAATATACTCTTTTTTCTTATTTGTATAATTCCTTCCCGCCGTTATCCATGTTCGCTGTGTTCCTGAAGTACATGTACAGGCAAATCTTTGGTCCAGCTTGCGATATCATTAAGAGGAGCAAAGATTCTGGTGGTCACTTAAGGCCTAAGTGTATTCCTTTACAAACACTCAAGTGGTTGCATTATTCGCTGCAACGCTTCAATAGAAGCCCTGAAGAGATGGCATCGCTTTATCATGGTAAGGGTATCATGAAGCAAACGGCAGTGGTTTCATTTTGCAGAGGATCAACCTTCACCTCAGCCACGTCTAAAGATTTTCCCTCTCCGGAAGCACATTTTTGCAAATCATGCACTTGTAAACAATCGTTTGCCATCTTTTCCTTACTAAAAGAAGGCGTTTCTTCTATCAGACTTCGATCAAAAAGGGTTTTCAGCACCAACTATAATCACCCAAACCAAGAAAAACTCGAAAATTTTCTGGAAAAGACGCTGTTATGAGCGAAAATGAACTACAACAAAAGCAGGCCAGGTGAGAGAGGGAACTTTGCTGTAAGACGGAGTTAGTATATGCCACTGTATGTGAATTGGTATATCCTTTGTGTCCTTCGAATCAACTGTTCCTTTTTGGAAGAGAGAAAACTCAGCAGGCCTTGTATACGACCGTACAATTTACTTGATGGATGACGTGATTACAAACTGTGGTGTTTAGGTGACTATGGCTAACGCTAATTCGTCAGCACGATAGAACTAATGCATGGAGTTACCAATCCGTTCAAAATACAGCAACAAGATTTCCTTTGATATTTATTAGAGACTGCTACTTCCACTTTCGAGGAAAGATGAGTCGGCAAGGCACCGTAGAATCCAAATTTCATCTTCAGAGCTCCACATATGAACCTCCTAAAGGAGAAAGGAAGAGCTCTCAACGCTGATTGATCCCTGAGGGATGCGCCATGCATCGTCTTCAATTTTAGTCGCCGTTTGAGGTGACTGAATACATATCTGGCCTTTACAGTGACTCACAGTAGTCTATCATTGCACCGAGTCAGTGCTGCTTATCCTCCTAGACAAGTCTAGTGCCACTTTGCGACCCCGGAGGGATGGATGACTTGGTGAGCCATGAGAGCGGGATCGAACATCGACACTGTGCACAACGTAGAGCACCTCTGACCACTGCGCCACACAGGCCTGCACGTAGTCTGGTTCTTACAAAGTCATGTAAAGTGATGTGCCAAAACTTTCGCGTCGGCCGGGACTCGAACCCACATCTCACTCTATCCTGGAGCGCCTGCTCTAACCCGTTGCACCAGTGACGTCCATTTTGCACATCACCTTACGCTACAGCGCATGTACCTGTCGGGCGCCAACCTTCAACGGCCTGGCCCGGATAGTCGGTATCGACATTGATAGTGGTCACGCTGACAGATATTGTGTATTGATGATCAAACGGAATGACAGATAGATGCGCTGTATCACCTGTATCACCTGTCGTCCCGTTGATCGTCGAGTGACTCGAGCGGGTACCAGCAACTCTTCCATTTTTCCCTATCGCGTGCAAGAGTAGCCCAGTGGGTCCTCCTTGCTCTAGGAATTCGCTGAGCATCATATCTTTCTTCCATCGCTTTCGTGAAGAAATCGGACCAACGGGTCAGTGGTCTTCCTTTAGAGCGCTTGACGTCCCGAGGAATCCAGTCGGTAACGGCTCTCGTCCATCGGTTGTCGTTGAAGCGCATCACGTGTCCGGCCCACCTTATTTTCGATATCCTGGCGTGTAGAACGGCGTCTCTGATTTTCGATCGTTGACGTAGGTCGGAATTCGGATCCTTTGTCTCATTTGCGAAATACGAGATACTCCTAGCATCGACCTTTCGACTGCGCGTTCGATAACGGCAAGTGATCTTTCATCCTGCTTACGTAGCGACCAGGTTTCTGCTGCATACGTTAGGGCAGGGATAATTGTCGAGTCGAAAAGGTGGGCACGGAGTCGGATGTTCTTTGTCCTCTTCACTACATCTTCGATGCTCTTAAACGTTCCCCAAGCCGCTCGTTTCCTCCTGCTCAACTCTGGGGCTAGGTCGTTCATCATGTTGATTTCACGACCTAGATAGATGTAACTGGAGCATTCGGAAATTGTCGTTCCGTTGAGCGTGAATGGGGCATTAGAAACCCATCCGTTCCTCATGAACATTGTTTTCGTTAGATTCAGTTGAAGACCGATCTTTCCACAGGCGTTATCGAAATCAGTCAACATTCGTTCCGCTTGGCTGATGTTTGGTGTTATGAGAACGATATCGTCAGCAAAGCGAAGATGGTTTAATTGTCGACCGTCAATTTTCACTCCCATTTCGTCCCATTCTAATGTTCGCATGACGTTTTGTAGGGTGGCAGTGAATAGTTTTGGCGATATTGTATCGCCTTGTCGAACCCCTCTTCTTACGTCAATGGTGATATTGTTGTAGAATGGAGATATTCTGGTCGTGAAATCTTTATAAAGCTCACGAAGGATCATTATGTACCGAGTAGGGACGCCCTGGTTATCCAGAGCCTCTATAACCGCTTCTGTTTCCACTGAATCAAAGGCTTTTTTCAGATCGATAAAAGTGAGACAGAGTGTTACTGTTTTTGGCATCAAAAATGCCAAAAACAGTAACAGATGCGCTGTAACGTAGAAAAAATGATGTACAAAATCTGCGTCAGTAGTGCAATGGGTTAGAGCAGGCACTCCAGGATAGGGTGAGATGTTGATTCGAGAAATTTTTGCATATCACTCTGCATGACTGGGTATATTCATGAAATCTTACTACCGCTAAAGCGGTTGAATAAAAAGAATTTCGTTCCCTACAAAGTACTCCAGATTGATTTGGCACACTCCATCTTCTGCGACCGTGATTTCACAGAATCTTCACAACGCTTATGCATTT